GAAGGGAGCTATGCAGATGGAGGGTGGAAATGGCCACTGGTGAAGGTTGGAAGCTGACTAGAAAAGGCTGGTAGGAAGGCTGGGCGCTATTAAGCCCAGTGGAGGCTGGTGATCAGGAATTCACAGGATAGGCCCGCTGGGCATGTGACTCTGTCAGCTATCTGGGGTGCAGGGAGAGCGAAGGCCGACAATGGGGGTTCACTCGCTGCTGTGGTTTTGCTAGCTGGGCACAACCAGAGTGGAAGGGTTAAGGAGTAGGCTTCTGGCAACAGGGAGAAATGGTGTCTGTCTCCCGGTAGACTTGAAAACCATGGCGGACACCCTCTAATCTGAGCAGAGAGGACCCAGGTGGGGAGAAAGTACCCAAGTCAGTAGCCCAGGGGGCCTGGTGAGGCTAAGGATGGTGTTATGGACCGAACGTTTGTGTCCCCCAAACGTAAAGGTTGAAGCCCTAGCCCCCAGTGCGTGATGGTCTTTGGAGATGGGTCTTCGGAAGGCAATTCCATTTAGGTCAGGTCATGAGAGTGGGGCCCTCGGGTGAGAGTTGTGGCGAGAAGGTGGCCGTGTCTGCAAGCCAGGAAGAGCCCTCACCAGAACGGGCACTGCCAGTACCTGGCCTCCAGAAATGTGACAAAACACATTTGTGTGTTTCAGCCACCAGCCTGTGGCACTTTGTCATTGCAGTGTGGGCAGACACGGGCAAAGAGGGACAACGGAGCAAGCGGGCCGGGAGGAGGGGGCTGCGGGCAGAGGACGGGCTGTCTGAATCAGAGGGTCCTCCATTTCTTGACGTATATGCCAGCGATTGTTGGGACTTTGGAGATGGACGTGTATTTTCCCAAGAGGACAGCAGGAGCTGGGGTGGGAGGGACAGCGGTGAACCAGGGAGTTTTAGGGGAATGAGCTAGAAGTCAGGACTTGGAGGTTTCTGCCAGAGGGAAGCCACAGAGCAGCCACAGCAAGGAGCAGAAGGTTCTTGGCCCAGCTCCCCAGCCCCGAGGGCCCAGGACCCCGGCCCCCTCGCCCAGAGGAAGAGGCAGGAGACTGGTATCCTGTAGGAGGGCTTGAGGACACCGGGGCTTCTTCTGGATTTGTGGCAGTAATTTCCAGAGACACGGGGTTGAGAGCACGGGTATGGAGTCAGATCAGGGGGACACAGCGTTGAAGTAGAGGAGTTGGCTGGAGAAGAACAGGACTCCCGAGGCTTTGGACATTCATGTGGGCACACAAGCTATGCAGGTCGGTGGTCAAGCTGAGCTGTGAGCCCACGGCGTAGGCCGGTGGTGGGGAGCGGGGGGACACCAATCAGGTGTTCACCTCCTGGTCCCTGCAGTCCACGGCCATCACCCCCATTTAATCATCAGATAAGATGAGGTGGTAAATGTGTGCAACTGAGTTCATTGTAATGATGCCCTGCCTCATTGCTATGCCCCTGCTTTTGCCCTCTTCCAACACATTCTTCAGATAGGGTGAGTTTTATAATACAGATCTGCTCGGGCCACTCCAAGAGAAAAAGACCATCAGTGCCTTTTATTGCTCTCAGAATAAAGTTTGAAATTAAACATGTGTGGTCTTCTAAGCCCCACCTGAGTGTGCCTTCTCAAGCTCCCAGAACTCCTTCCAGCTCCACACGTGCCTATTCCTGGTCTCCTCCCCAATGCCCTTCTGCACCTCCTGCCTGCCTGCTCTTCATCTGGCCTGCACTTCCTTCTCCTCCTAGATGCCCGTCCTTGGGGGGCCTTCCAGGCCCCGCACCTGCATCAGCTGCCTTGTGGAACCCCACTGTATCTTCTCCTCATCCACAGCATTCTCCCAAGGCACCTGGGAGGGGGATGCGGGGGCGCGGTTCAATAGCTGCAGATGAATTGTGCATTTCTGGGTCCAGCATGCTCCCCAAGACAGAGCACTGGGTGAGTGGGTTTGTCAGTGAGGCAAGCCCAGGATGTGTAAGTCAGGGCCATGCTCCAAGACTCAGTCGTGAGACCCAGGGGTGTGGGGTGGGGTGGAGGGTTGGCACTCCTTTCCTATCTCCTTGGACCTTGGCGGTAGACAAACAGAGCCCTCTGCCTTTCACACTTAAGATTAGAATCCTTGAGAATTTGTGTAAAGGGACCTATGAAATCATCCACTCTACAATGGGAAGCCTAAGTAGCAGGCTCCTGTCACCAAGGCCTGAGAGCTGAGCTGTGTCGTCGCCTCCATACAGCTAACCAAAAGGGCTCATTGCTAGTGTGTCTCCCAAATCTGGGCTTTTCTCTGATCAGCACAGTCTGTGGAGAACCGCCATGGTCCAGCCTGTACTGGAAACTTCTCGTCCCATCAGGCCCCCTTTCTCTCATGCTCCTCAGGATAGAGTTAAGATTGGCCTGCATATCTTCTCACCTGAGGCCCCAGGGTCTCAGCTGCTGACCTCCTGTCAGCAACTGCTAAAAGACAAACCTTTCCCATTTACACAGGACAAATCACAGGGCACTTTTTAATACATACAAAGAAAAGTCTTTCCGGGGCACCTGGGTGGCTCAGTCAGTTAAGTGTCTGCCTTCGGCTCAGGTCATGATCCCAGGGTCCTGGAATTGAGTCCCGCTTCGGGCTCCCTGCTTGCTGGGGAGCCTGCTTCTCCCTCTGCCTGCCACCCCCCTGCTTGGGCTCTCTCTCTCTGTGTCAGATAAAGAAATAAAATAAAGAAATAAAATCTTAAAGAAAGAAAAAAAAAAAGAAGAAAAATCTTTCCCCCAACACCCTACAATCCCTAAAAGAAAAAAAGAGAGAGAAAAAGAAAAAGAAAAAGAATGTGCTCAAAGACCTGCCCAAAGGCAACAGGTGAATCTTTGCATTGATGCTTGTGTCCTAAAGGATCTGTTCAAGTCTCTTTCCAGGAACGGAGATCATTCTGCTTCAAAAGAATGCGAGTGTCCACATTATAGAGAAAACTGCCTCTGGCTTTGAACTGGCCGCTTTCCAAATCCCATGCAGGTTTTCCCAGCCAGGCAGGTTTAGCCTGGGTGCCACACTGTGCCACGAAAGACGTTCAAGTGTCCCCAGTGGGTGACTTTAGCTTGGGATTCCATGATTGGGTATGTAGCAGGAAGCTAAATGAAACTTTTTCCCGTCACTTCAAAGCCAAGTCTGTGAGTAAAAAATATCCATGTATTCAAAAGAGGTGCTGGACACCTTCAGATTCACAAAGATGGGGAAACTAGCCCAGCACCTACCACCCCCTCCAGCCTCTACAGGAGAAGGTGAGTGGGAGAGAGGGAGGGAGGTTCTGAAGGAACCCTCCTTCTTCAGGCCGGGGGCTGCCTGTGAGGAGGAGACGCTGAACCTCACCGTCTGCTGGGAGGCTAGCTGGGGTTACCTGGGAGGCAGGGCAAGTGGGGGCCAAGGCCAGGAAAGCGTTTTTCCACCGTTTGCTGGTGCAAAGATGTATGGTGCTCTCGTGGGCCAGGTAGTTGCTGGGGAAGACAGCCTGGCCTGCGGTCACTTGATGGGACCCCACCCAGGAGGGCTGTCTTATAAGGAAAGGTATGCTGGCAGCAAGACAGACTATGTGGGGAGCAGTGCTGGGGGGCAGGAGCTGAAGAGGGGCCCAAGAGGTCAGCTGGGAGTACGCTGCTCAGATGCAGGAACAGGCAGGGGTCCTGGGAGCACCGCTGAGAAATCCCAGCAAGATGTCCCCATGGAAGAGCCGGAAAAGAGCTATGGCCAGCAGCAGCTAAGGAGCAAGACCGTTACCCTTTCCCCTCGCCCTGTAGGAGCCTTTCCCACAGGAGCCAGAGGGGGCAGAAGGGGAAAGGGAGGAGGAAGGCGAGGAGAGGAACACCCAGCCTCCTCTCTTGCCCCACCGCTGGTTCCCGGGCCGCCCTGTTAGGTGTGAGTCGAACGTGGGGCAGGGTATCAAGGATCTTTGAAGAGAATGCAAGCCTGAAGCTTTGATTTGGAGCTTCTCCTTGAGAAGCCCCTGTGATGAAAGGGAGTTCCAGAAGAGGAAGTATTCTCCAAGTTTGCACCGAGTCTCGAAGTCCAGATGAGACGGCTCGAGCCCCACACTGGGCACCAACATGTTATCATTTGGAGTTTGGGTCTGAGAGTGAATGGTCAAGAAAGAATTCTTGAGATTTTTCAGTGCAAAAAAAAAAGGTGATTTTATTAAAGCACCGTGACAGGACCCCTTGGACAGAAAAGGATGCATTCTATGTGTGAGGAGTGATTGATTATATAGGGGTTTTTTTATCCTATGGAGGGGGGAGGTGACGTTAGGGCTCCAGGAAATTGAGTCTATAGGTTTCTGGAGGTCTGACTACTCTCAAGATTGTGCTCTTCTTGTAAAAACTGTGATCTTTATCAGGTGACCATTTCCTTTTTCCTTCCTTCGTCTTGGGCAGTCAGGAGTGCCTGAGAAATGTCACACGTATCCCCCTCACATCTTGGGGGGAGGGGAGATGTAAGAGGGTCAGTTTGGTTTTCGCCCTCCGCTTTCCTTTTATTTTCTCATCAGCCCCACCCGAGCTAGCGGGGCCTGGCTCAGCCACTAGAAGGAAATACAATCTTCTCCTCATCCACAGCCTTTTCTCCCACTGGCCTGGAGAGAGGTCACAGCTCCAAACTCTCTCTCCTCCTACTGCCACATCCTTGGAAAGGCCATAAGCATCTGCTCTGTTCTGAGCTTAACTGTTTCAAGGGCTAGGGGGATCCCAGACTGAGGGGACCAGAGGAGCCATACTCCCACAAGACTGACAGAGAACAAGTGAAGCCCAAGATACACCTAAGACCCTACCCCAGCACGGGGTCTGGGAGGGTGCTGGGGTGAGAAAGCTGATGAGAAGCAACGAGAAGAGGGAGGCCCACCCGGGTGCTTTGGGACTAGGCAGCCAGAGGCCGGCATGGGGGCCAGGCCAGGGTGTGCTGCCTCCATCTGTGAGGCAGGGCTCGCGGGCAAGCCCAGCCTTTTCCAGGGAGTGTTCAGGCAGCTCCCTGCTGCCGCTTGGGCTCCACAGACACAATCAGAGGTACGTACTGCTCACAAAAGTCACCCCTGGGCTGGAAGTTCTTCCTGAGGCCTCTGTCTCCTTTCCTGAAGGTACTGATTCTGGAGGCCTGGAGCGAACAGGAGGCCATCACTGACTGGCCAAGAATTAGTCCCACGACCGCGTCCCTCACCACCCCTCCCCTGGCCCAAAGTCAGTCAGATGTCTGTGGCTCCTGAGGGCCCCCTACTGGGCTCTAAGCAACAGTGCACACATGGTGAGGAAGAGGTCTGGGCTTCAGAGAAAGCAAGCAGCTCACCGAGGGTACGGCCCCTGCTCCAGGTCCTTGATGGTGTCCTTCAGGGGCTGGCCACGCGTCTCCGGCAGCAGGGCACAGAGTAAGCCTGCCCCAACGGGGAGGCTGCCATAGACGAGCATGGGGAGGGCTGCCTGGTACTCGCCCAGCAGGATCACAAGAGGGGTGAGGATACCCCCAGTCCTCGAGAAGATGCCCATCAGCCCCATGGCCGTCTGCCTGGGGGAAGGCCAGTACAAGCTGAGCAGACCCAGCCACAACTCCAGGCCACAGCTCCACCCCAGCTCTACCTTGGGCGAGCCCAGGCCCTCCTTATGGCCCCACCGGCTCCCTTGGCTCGCCCGGCCCTGCCAGCCTTTTGTGTCCACTTCCCCACACTGCTTGTTGTCCAGCCAGGTGCCATGCTTCTCCCACCTCTAGGCCTGCCTACTTGCTGCCCTCCTGCTCACCCGCCAAATCTCAGATCAAAGACTATACCTCCTGCCTAACCCCCCAACCACCACCTGAGTCCTCCTTCTCAGCCATTCATTCTTAGACTTCCTCCGTCCCGGTCTTGACAAGGCCAGGGCATGGCCTACTTCTGTATCTGTCCTCCACTGCCTAGGATAACATGGGGACTAGACTGTCGCGGCCCCCAGCAGTGCTGCCCGAGCCAGCCTCATAAGCGGTCTGTGGAACAGTGGTGAGGGCAGAGAGGCATGGCCAAGGTCAGGGTGTCGGAGCAGAGGAGCAGCCCTTACCGGATGACGGTGGGGAAGAGCTCGGCAGTGTACACGTACGAGATGGTGAAGCCGGCAGCCGTGGCAAACTTGCCCACCACAGCCAGCACAGTGACCACCACCGGCAGATCTAGTGGAGGATGCTGGTCAGCCACGTGCCAGGAGACAGCCCCACACCCTGGACCCTGCCCCTGCCCAGCCCTCCCAGACTCCCGTCTGCACCTGGACCCCAGGGGAGCCCTCGCTCCTGGAAGGGAGGCGATGGGATTCTGGTAGCTGGGGTGGCGGGGGGGGACAAGGATATGGGAGAGCCAGCCCTGGTACCTGCTGGGACAAAGATGATGGCAATACACATGAGGCCACCCAGAACCAGAGTCAACATCTGGCTCCACTTGCGGCCCAACCACTGCATCATGAATATGCTGGAGTAGCGGGCAGGCACCTCAATTGCTCCGAAGACTAGCTGCGTCAGGTAGATGTCCAGGCCAAAGTCACCGACTTGGAGGCTCAGGCCAAAGTAGCCCAGGCTGTCCACAAACCTACAAAGTGTCCAGGAATCCCTGTGACTGCTGGGTGATGAGAAACCATCACTCTCAGGGGGAGCCTGCCGGAGAGGGAGTCACGGCAGGAGATAGGAGCACAGCCAAGGAGAAACCAGTAATGCCACACAGCCCATCCCTGACAGACAGACAGTCACCAACCCCCAGCTGCCTCAGGGCTTTGGACGTGAGCCTGGGGAGGGGGTGCGGGGGGGTGCTGGGGGGTGCTGGGTCCTGGTGTACTCACCAGACACAGAAGAGGATCAGGGTCACCTTCCAGAGCTGGGGGTGCCTGAACAGATCCCGGGCATTCCCTGAGGGGCCTGTCTTCTCTGGGACGAGCTGGTAGGGAGATGCACAGTGAGGGCCCAGGCAGAAAGGCCTGTGCAGGCCAGGGGCAGGGGCAGGGCTGGGCTCAGCCTGTAAGAAGTACCTGGCTCAGGAGCTCTGGGGAGACTCTCTGCTTGTTGACTGAGGCTGCCTTCTGGATCACTTGTTTAGCCTCCTCTACCCTCCCCCGGGTCAGAAGCCACCGTGCTGACTCTGGCAGAGCCCTGCAGGTCCGGAATGGCTGTGACCGCAGAGCCCCCCGCTCCCCCAGGGGCTCCAGGGCATACAGAACCCCACACCCCTTGCACTTTGGAGAATATTACGCTCCAACCACACCTCCGCACAACTAGCCCGGGGGTGGCTTGCTCCTGGGAAGTACCTCCTCACCAGAAGTAGAAGAAGAGCAGCAAGATCGGTGCCGTGCCAGCTATTTGGAAAAGCCTCCAGTTCCGGATGCCATAGGCAAGTCCTGCTAGCGCCATTTGCCCCATGGAGAAGGCGCACTGGGCCAGGACCACGGCCTGAGTCCGCCTCGAGGGCCCCATCCACTCTGTAACTGTGCAAACAGAGAGGTTGAGACTGGGCCAGCCCCTGCCCTCTCCCTCCCTGGCACTCCCTGGATGCCCCTCTGTCCATGTGGGCCTCAGTTCCCCTTGTGTGTGACCACTTGTGGTATGGGTGCCTGACAAGGCTCCCACAGGCAGTCTGGGCTTGTGGCCCGCTCAGACCCCAAGGCTTCACGTCATGGCTCAAGGCTTCAGGACCCAGATACTCACGCAGGGTCACATTGCTGAAGGCGTACCCAGCGACAGCAGTAGCCATGGCAAAACGCAGGACCATGTAGAGCGCGAAGCTGGGCACAAAGGCCGTGGCCAAGCCGATGAGGGCGAGGAGGAGTAGCTGTACCAGGATAGTGGCCTTGCGGCCGATCCTGGGGTAACAGAGGGGCAGGGCCTTGAGGGCCCATCTCCGAGGGGAAGGATGGCAGGGAGACCCAGGCCTGCCCTGGGTGCCCTAGCTGACGGAGGATGCATTGCCCTATCCTGGGCACCAGTGAAAGGCATGGAGGGAAACTGTGCCAGGAGCACAGGAGCGTGCTAGGGCGGGGGTGAGCTGGTCAAGGTTCTTACCAGTCACAGAGAGGCCCAAAGATGAGAGACCCAGCGAGGAGCCCGGCCATGTACACCGACTGTGAGGTCTCCTTCAGGTGCCTCTGATCACACACTAGGTTGAACTGAGGCAGACACAGGCAGATGTGAACTTGGGGCAGCTGACAGCAAGTCCTTTGTCATCTAGCCCACCCACTTACAAAACTCTCGGGACAGATGCCCATGGTTCCCGAACTGTGTGCAAAGGCACCCCAGGACACCAGAATAAATTCATGGGGGCAATGAACAATAGCAATCAATACTTAACATCCATCTGATATTACAAGAACTGCCAAGTAAGGACGGTTCTGTTTCAACATGAGATCATGCCACATTCCTTTCAGTGACATCATATCTATGTGAAGCTGTATTTCTGGCAGTTGTTTTGAAAACAGCAAGCACCACGTGGAGCGGAAAATGTTCAAGGATGGAGACGTCGTGCGGCTCGCAATAGGTACATACATCCTATTAGTAGTTGATTGTATTTATTTAAAAATGAAAAATATTTTCTCTCAGTTACATGCGTTATTTTTTTTTTTTAAGATTTTATTTATTTGTGAGAGCAAGAGAGCATGAGCAGGGAGGAGGGGCAGAGGGAGAGAGACAAGCAGACTCCCTGCCTAGTGAGAAGCCTGAGGACACGGTGCTCAATCCCAGGACCCTGGGATCATGACCTGAGCTGAAGGCAGATGCTTAACCGACTGAGCCACCCGGGCGCCCTGCATGCATATTATTTCTTAAAACAGCTACTAGGTTGTTGGAACATAATTACTTATTAAATTGTTTGGACCTAATTAGTTAATACATAAAACTGTTAGGTTTTCTTTTGGCCTGGAGACACTATGGAGAATTACTGACACATTAAGAATCCAGAGTTTGGAACCTCTGACACGGGACTCATTGCTGCTTCCTGACAAATGGGGCCTCTTCCCCACAGCCAGAGCACCCCTGTGACCTACTTGGGCCTCTTCAAGTTTTCTCATCTGGCTGCAAAATCTCTCTGAAAATCTAATCATTCACAGGCGGTGAGAATCCCAAGGAGCCCTCACACGCCACTTGCAGGAGATTAGGATGGAGGAACATGCACGTGTGTGTAGGCATTCACTCAAGTGCACACACGGAGACGGGGCAACCCACCTGGAGACTCACAGAGAGAACCTAACAGATGGACTGAGAAACTGAGTGGAGAAAATATGCATGTCCGGATAACTCCGCACACATCTACTGCAGGTGTGCATACAGGAAGCCTCTGTGACTGACCCCCAACCCCACTGGTCTGTGGGCCCCTCAGGGACTTCTGTGTCCCCTGCTCACAGCTCAGCTCCGTTCGTGAATGTTTGAGGGGGGTACAGACTCGTGAGCTCTCCTCCGCAGCTCATGGAGATAGCTTCACAATGACTAATGCCTTTGGAGGGCTCACTCTGTGTTGGGTAGTCTGCTAAATGCCTCACATGTGTTATCTAATTCTGACAACAATCCTTGATTTACTAGTACACTCCCCTGGGGGAGGAGGGGTTACACACATTATCCTAGGTCCCGCTGCTAGATGGCAGTGGAGTTCAGACATCCCCCTTTGCCCCAGACAAGGACTGAAACGGAGTTAAAGCGAAGACAAGTTTTACTGAATGAATCAATAAATGAACTAATACCTACAGATAGACAACTAGCCAATCATCATCAGTCAAAATAACTTTTAGCAAGAAATTAGTCAGTCCAGGAGATACCATTGTGCTCATACTTCTGTTCTCAACAACAACTGTTAATTTTCAATATTATGTCAAATGATTAACTGCTTGCCCCTTAGGAATGAAGTGAGGCAGGACAGGGGATTTGAACTTGCTCCACCTAGTTCTAGTTTGGTCTTATTTAGCAACCACAGATTGCCTTTGCAATTAGACACGCTTTAAAATAAATAATAAATAAAGGCCTGCTGCTGTCAGCCTCTGAAGTTTGAATTGAGCAACTTTGTGTGACTTTGAGCCTGTTAGCCCATCTGTTGGTGCCTTGGTTTCCCATGTGCAAAATGGGGATAAAATATACTATGTAGTGTCCCCCAATAGGAATAAAGGCATTGACACATGTAACATGCTTATCAGCACAGTGGCTGTCACCCAGGAAGCCCTCAGGAAATGTTAGCTCAGCAGAGGGTGCATTGGCCACCGTGCTCATGAAAGTCACACCTGGTGACAGACATCTCAGACTGAAGGCATGGGTGGGCCAATCCAAGGGAGTCTTCCAAGGCTGGTGCCCCTATGCAGTGGTGACCATGCACCACCTCCTTATAGTTTATATACCCCTTATTTCATTAAATCCTCATTTTAACCACATAAAGGCTTATCATTCCCACTGCGCAGCCACAGAGACCAAGGCTTAGAGAGGTACCAAGAAGTGGTGGATCGTGTTGCAGAGGCAATAAGAGACAAGAGGGCTCTCTCTTGGAACGCCAGCCATGAACCTCCCCAGCACTGATACCCACAGTGGATGGTTCTGTCTGGGGCCTGCCACAGAGGCACACAGACACCCTCCCCCATTCTTGGTACACACCTGTCACATCTCCCTCCCCCGTTCCAAAAGCTTTGGTGGTTCCCCTTGGTCTCTGGGAGAGGGCCCAAATTCCTCAGCTCTGTGTTTAAGATGGTTTAAGAGCCGGCTCTTGCCCATTTCCCAACCTCTTTGTATGTCAGCATTCCTCAAACGTGCCATGCATTTTCATGCCTCCAGTCCTAGAAATGGCTATTCTCTCTGATATCCCTTCCCTCCCATTCCTGCCCCTTCTCTGGTCCCAGAATGGATCACGCTGTTGTTATTCACTCCAAGCCTATTTTCCTCCCTATTCAGAAGTTCATGTGGACAAGGCTGGGAGTCATATTTTCTTTTACCATGGATGGACCCCCCAGGAAATGTTGGGAGGTAGACTGAGTTTCTACTTCTACTGAGAAGTAGAAACATACTTTCTTCTTTAAGAACACATAGCCTATAAGGCAGGATGCTCTTTTCTTCTCAAATTAGGCCTGTTTGAATTTCAATTTGATTGTGAAGCTGCTGGTTATAATAAGGGAAGTTGGGATGTCAGCTCAGAGAGAGTCCCCTGAGTTGGTGTGGCAGAGCCCCTCCTTGTAGATGGGAAACAGAGGTAGAAGATCTCACACCAATGTAGCTCTCGAAGCAAAGCCGGAGTTATCATTTGGTGCAGGGCACAAAGTACCAAAGGTATACATTCTCTTGAGAATCGAAGTCCTCGGGAGGGTTGGAGCAGGAGAAACATGATAGGGAAGGACAAGAGGTCCAAGGCCCAACCCCAGTGCTAGCTAGGTTGATGATTAAAGACAGAGGGGAATCCCAAACCCTCAGTTAAGGAGAACAAGGTACCTCCCTCCTTGGGCTGTTCCCTGTACAGTAAACACTCAGGGAGCTCTGGCTGAATAAAAGTACACAAACAGTCCGGCACAGGGTATGAACAGGACTACAGTTGGCTCCGAGCAGTCTGGTTGCTTGCCTGGGCTTTAAGGATGGTTTTTGGCCAGGTGGGCAGAGTTTGAGCACGCGTGGAGGTAGGCACCCACAGCATCTGAGGACCAGTGGAGGCTGGCCCTACCACGAGGGTGATGCTGCGAACATGGAGAGGCCAATGAGGACCAGCCTGGGCTTTGCTGGGAGAGCTCCTAGGCTGCCTACACCCCTGTGGGGCAGAATGAGGTAGAGGGTCAGGAAGAAGACAAGCAGGACATATTCTCAGGCTGCAAGGGTTCTGGGGGCAAGTTTCTGGTCACATTTAAAAAAGTGAATGCCTGGGGCACCTGTCTGGCTCAGTTGGTAGAGCACGCAACTCTTGATCCCAGGGTTGTGAATTCGAGGCCCACAATGGGTGCAGAGATTACTTAAAAAAAAAAAAAAAAAAATCTTTAAAAAAAATGTGAATGCCTTTGGTTAAAGCATCATCCTCTGAAAGCCTCTAAAAGTAAATACTTTTTTACTCATGGAGGTAAAAAATGAATGTTTAAGCTCTGAACTCTGATTCCCCTCTCCACAAAGGCTCAGTATTCGCCACCAACAAGGTGAGTTGTCCAGACCACCCCCCCAACCAACAATGCCCATGCCTCAGGATTCTGGACCGTCTGTGCTCTTTCCTGTTCCTGCAGGGAGCTGAGTGGGAGCCCTACCTCCACGATCAGCTCACTGGGTTGCCCTGACCAAGTCATCTCTCTCCTCTGCGCCTCAGTCCCAGCTTCTGGGAAGCAGCAAAGTGGGCACGGATGCTTCCAGGGAGCCCTTCTTGCTCAGGTGGCTGGAATGGGAATCTGTTTATCTGCCTGGATCCTTCCCAAGAAAATGAGTTTAGCAGAGCAGGTACTGTCATCTGCGCACCCCGGTGCCCCAGAGGGCAGGCGGGCATAGCTCCAGAGAGAGCAGCTAGAAGGCAGGAGGCCCATGGCAGGCAGGCAAGCAGGAGGGCAGACAAGTGGACAGGGATACCAGAAGCCAGGTAAGCAGGCAGAGCGCAGGGGCCGCCTGAACGACAAAGGCCAAGGGACCGATAGATGGGAACGCTGCAGGGAGAGAAAGATACAAAGACAGGAAAGCAGGAGGGGACAGACAGAAAGGCAGACAACTGGGCAGACAGGCAGAGGGACCAACAAAAGGATAGGGAAACATGCATGGACAGATGGGCAGACAAACCAGACAGAGAAAATGGAGAGAGAGGGAGAGGGGCCAATAGTTGGAGGACAAAGAGAAAAGCAGGATGAGTGGCAAAAAGAAAAAAAAAAGTCACCCCAATGGTCCACCATTCGGGCATGGGTGCTTAAGGGCAGACACAGAAGCAGCAAGACCAGTCGCTGAGGGCAGAAGGCCAGACAGAGTTGCTGACCAACCCCAAAGAGGCAGACCAGCAGAAGGGCAGCCCTACCTCGTTCTTTAGGGACAGGGGCCTGTCCTCAGGATACTCCCAGCCTGCCTCGCAAGGCTGTGTCTCATTGAAGCGGTGGCTGAGGATGTCCTCCAGGCTGGCACCGTCGGGGGGCGGCCGGAACATGAGGCAGGATTCAGGCTCGCCTGCAGCATCCAGAGGCACGCTCAGTGTCAGCTGCTCAGCAGCACTCAGGTTCAAAGTGTGGTTCTTGACCCAGGCCACTGAGCAGTGGTGGGCCTCATCCTGGATCATGAAGACCTGGGCAAACATGTAGTAAGCACATAGGAAGTTGGGGATACTCAGCAGTATCAGCAGCTGTACCTGGAAGCGTCCAAAGTCACCTATTTCAGCCAGGACCTGGGCAAACTGAGCCATGTCTACTGGCCAGCCTGGGGCCACCAAACAGCTCTGCAGCTTGGCTTGGGGACACTGGCTCCTCTGAGCAGCGATGACAGCTGTGTTAATATTTAATCCAGCCTTGGCTGGCCTGACCTGTCACACTTCAACTCCCTGGCTGTAGCCTGGGGAGGACAGAATATGATGAAAAACTAGTCCACTCTGGCTTGCAGAATCCCAGGATGCTTTATTGACAGTGTGATGGACACAAGCCTCATAAGAGGACCTTCTCAGGCCCAGCACAAGAATGAGCTTTAGCCAGATGTTAAACAGTGCACAAGCAGCGCCCTCCAATTGCAACATCCTAAACAAGTCACCCCCAGCTCAAACCCCTCCCATTATGATAGACCCCAAATTCTGAGAGTAGTTCCAACACTCAGAGGGATACAGAAGTCCCTTCTAGGGACCAGGCCACAACAGACAATGAGAGTAAGTCAGGAGAGTGGCAAGGACCCAGCTTGCATACTAACTTGGTCAGCAGCCCAGTCTGGCCTCTTGACGCTGCTGATCTTATCTTTCTCCTAGGGGTCTCTGGCACGTGGTAGGGCAGCAAGAAGGCCAAGAGACCCACCAAGGGCATAAATGCCTTTCCCTCTCAGTACCAAAGACAATCCAAGAGCACACAGATATTCCAGAAGAGCCAAGAGTGCATTTTGAGCTCTACTCTAATTGAGGAAGAAACCATTAACACATGACCAAGATAAGGCACAAGCAAGCTGCTGCAGGGAAACTTCATTCATAATAGGTAATCTCAGTGATAACAGGGGAACACAGGACAAAGTCTCCCTCGATCGTAACCTCAGCTGTGGGAGCCTCTGCTGGAGTCAAGGTTGGGATGGGGCACATGGTGGCTGGTAGGTCAGGATTCTTACAGGACGGAAGAATAACAGGACCTCCAAGAGGAGGAATCTCCCAAAGATTAAAAAGCCCCCATCCTTTTTACCCTGGAAGAGGTCTACTGGAGGTAGACCCAGGGCTTGGAAAGCATCTAGTTCAGTCATGGGAGGTGGGGAATGATAGGACTGAAGATGGCATTAGGGAAAAACACACATGTATGTGCAGCATGCATGCACACACACACATTCATGTATTTGCCTGTGTATGCATGGGAAAGCCTTCTCATGTTTGAATTCTGAACCATTTTAAGAGAGACTGAGTAGCACAGGTGAAGGGAATGCAAGGAAGCAAGCCTGTACGGGGCGGTTCTGGACACAGCATGCCTGTATCTGGTCCCCTGGCCAGCACAGCTGCTGGCTTTTATTAGTCAGCCAGCATGCATAGCAGGTCAAGGCGGGGCAGAGGCAAGGGCCCATGACCCTGTGTTAAGGAGAGCACCTCCCTCTCTGCCCCATCCCGAATTCTCCACCAGTCTCACCACTGTCCCCAGCTCTATCTTTCCTTCCTTACCTAGCTTTCTTGCATGTGCTTGTTCTCAGCATCACCTCAATTGAACTACCAAGAAAACAGATGCTGTAATTGCCACTGCCCAATACAGTGCTCCCCCGATGGAAGAGAACTGAGATGGAGACAAGAGTCTGTCCTCAGCCTGCATCATTTTCCTACTCCAGTCAGGGAGCAGATTTTTGCTTCTTTGGCTTCAAGTAGCCAAGGGAGCTGGAGCTAGGAGGCAGGAAACTTGGGCACTGCTACTGATTCACTATGATTCTGAGTCTGTCTCTTGTTAAAAAAACAAAATTCATCTGAGTAGATTGAAAGATCTAATTGGCTTTACTCGATGATTCATGAATTGGGCAGTATCCCATCTAGCAAGTGGAAAGGAGCTCCAAGGAATTGTACAAAACAGAAGACTTTCATAGGCACAAAAGGGCAGAAAAAAGAAAATGTCCTGCAAAGAGTGAATGTTTCCAGCAAAGTCACCTTCCTTGGGGGAGGGCTGGGGGTCTATCAAGTAGATTACCTCACTAGTGCTGACCAAGTAATTCCAGATTGACTCGGTTAAAAGTCACATTCCTGGGAGAGACTGAAATTGCAATGAGGTCAGGTGTTAAGTCTTGGTTTGCTGACATGGGGCTTAGCACAAGTGACTCTATTTTGGGTCTATTATGTCTTTTTTCCTCCTTTTGATCAGATTCTAAGCTTAACTAATAGATGGGATCAAAATGTAAGGCACTGTGCCACTCCCAGCTACTGTGCTGGAGTTCTCACAGCTTTAACTTATCCTCTTTGTGACAGTCACAGGTCATGATGTTTTTTGCTGAGTCTCTCTGGTGTTCACAGATCATGACTTCAGGTTCACAGTTTTTTAGTTGGTCTTTCTCTTTGGTCTTTTTTTGACAGTCCAGTCTTAGGGAGATCATTTGCTTGGTGGTTAGTGGCTGCAAACATGCATTTAAAGCTTTGGAGAGAACACAGCATGCCAAGGAAACTACTATGATTCTTGTAAGCAGGATAATTCCCAATGTCTGGAGTGCACTTCAGAGCCATGGTCCCCAAGACCCAAACCAATCAAAATCAAATAAGTCAAAAAAAGATCCCATAGAAGGAGCCACCTTTTTAAGCCAAGTAGTTTGCTCAGTGATCTTATATAACTGGGTTTCAACTTCCCCAGAAGTGCTAACCCGGGTACAGCCTGTGGTGTTGACCACAGCACAGACACCTCATTGCTCAGCTAAAAGATAATTAAAGGCTATCCTGTTAGCAAGAACAACTTTGGCCAGCAAGTCTAAGGATCTTTGTTGGTAGCTATTGCTATGGCACAGATTCTGCAATACTTTCCAGAGTTAAGGACAGTGTCCTGATCATAGCCTCACTCGTGTTCACTCCTAACTGGGGGAAACAGGGACTTCGAAAGGAAGCAAATCCTGAATGATGAAAGCCTCCAGGTAGGTCCTTTCTAACTTGACAATGTAAATTCAGAGGTGTCAACCAGTGAGGTATCTGTTCATGAACAGCTAGGGGCACTGCCCAGCTATCCACCAGCTATCTGGGCATCCACAGGCCCAAGGAGGATGATAACCACCCCAGACAAAGATTAGTCCTGTCGGGGCACAAACCACTCCTGCTAAGGTGGCACTCCTTCTAGCATCATGGACAGGTCAGAGCTTTTGATGACAAATCCAGCAGTCTGCAGGGTTACCCTCCTTCGCAATGGCCTAGGAGATACAGATGATGGTGTTATCTTTCCAGGCCAATACAGAGTAAAGGAAAAGAAAGAAAAGAAGAAAGGCTTTCACGTTTAATTAAACTAGTTAATAAGTGTTGACCCAGTGTCTTGGGTGGAAGCAGTCTACATTCTCTTCCTCATCAGTTTGATTTTGAGCACTGCAGCTGGAACTGACATTCCAATTGCTGGACTCTGAAGGAGCTCTTTTTTAATTGGGAGATGTGGACCCAAGATCCAAGTCCCTGAAGTTTGGCTGCCATCTAGGTAGTGAGGAGGATTTGTATAATCCCTTCCAAGGAGGTTCAAGGGCAGACTTTGGTCTAAGTTACTCCAAATCAGAAGGGTGGGAGAAAATTGGAAATGTTAGTTTGGAGAGTTGTAGCCAGATACTTGAGGAAACTAGAATTCAGAATCTAGTCTAGTTCACAGGTGTATAACAATCCCTCAAAGACAATTAACAGGGCTAGAATCTAACATCCATATGGTACAAATGTAATTTTTCTATCTACAATTACTTCCATTTTTTTACAAAAGATAATCACAGTAAAATTAATATTCATTAAACACAGCCTGATTATTCCTATAAGTGCAGTAAGAATAACGATTGAGCATATAAGCTCCTTTTAGAGACTGCTTTGCTTCAACTTTTCATAAGGAATCTCATAGTGAACTCTTCAAGGTTTCTGAGGCCAGAAAGCCAAGCCAAGGGCTCATCATTAGATTTTTACCTGCAATACCTATGGTTTGGGTGAATTCCTCCTTTCTCAAGGTCCCCAAAATATTTTGAGATTCCTGGGCCTGTCAGGAGATAACCTTCCTTACTCACCTGGTAAGACTGCCAGCAACCCTGTAGGCAGAGTATCAGGCTGATTTTTCCAAGGGGCTTCATTGGCCTCATAAAGTCAACTTTACTCCCTTAAAGCTGTCTGGTCCTATCGAGTCTACACATATGACATTCCAGTAATATAGGTAATATAACATTGGTAATATAGCCAATGTTTCAAATTGTGTCCTGTTACAAGGAGACCAGATTCTTATTGAACTTATGCAAATAAATAATTATATTGCCATGTAAAGAATACTCAAAAATCTCTGAATTCTGGAGGGATCAGGATCAAGAAGAAAAAATAAATGTTTCCTCTTTGTTTACAAAGGTGTTCGTAAGTCTTCGATAGCTTAAGAGAAAAGGTTTCCTTAAATCTGGAAAAACAAAATATTAAGGAACCAGCAAAGTTTCAAACAAAAGTCATAAAAAATTATAATCATCCTCCTACATTCATGTAATTAGTACCATTTTGCTTGAATCTAGTTTTTCCATTAGTTCTGGAAATCCTTACCCAGTTCTGTTTTACGATCTTAAAGTTATCAGAAATCTGTACTTTTCAAAGTCCTTTTCCTGAATTTCCTTGAAGATAAAGCACTTTTTTTTTTTTTTTAAGAGAGAGGGAGAGCACGCGCTGCACACGAGAGGTGCGGGAGGGCAAGGGGCAGAGGGAGAAAGAGAATCTTAAGTAGGCCTCACACTCAGTGACCCTGAGTTCATGACCTGAGCCAAAGTCAAGAGTCAATGCTTAACCAACTGAGCCACCCAGGTGCCCTAAAGATGAAGCACTTTTGCAGAAACACTTTGGCAAAAGCATCTGAGTGAAACAACAACTGTCTGTAAATGAGGAGGACTTACAATGCCCACAGTTAAAGATCAGTTGAAAGCTCATTATAATGGATCAACAAGGAAATTTGGTTATTTCTTTACACAACATTTTAAGATAGTAACTGAAATTATGACTGATAACATTATGCCAGGACATATCAGATTTCCAGGAATTTCACAGTTTCTGGGACACTTATAGATAAC